AATAAACTAAGTTGATGAATTATCATCTACGTTTCGCAGGAGTAACTTCTCCAAGCTCGCAAACCTTGTTGTTTCTAGGCAGACCGCTAGCGTTTGCCCAACTAGGTGTGACCTTCAAGGTAGCACAAATCTCACCAACGATGTACTTGGATTGGAGTTGCTTTTCCGGTCGTAGGATCAAACCTGTGATCTCACTACCCCCCCCCCTCTCCCCGNCTCCCCGAAGGCTTCCGAATCTGCTTCACACAGATGAAACAGACTGTGAACTCATTTAGCCCATCTACCAAGGTGTAGTTTCTGCTACATGCGAGTAGCATCGTGTAGCCACACAAAGAGTTGAGTGACTCGCCAGGGCCATAGGGAATGAACTACTGAGTACGAGAATGACGTGTTCCTAATTCTTAGGTATTATCATTGATAAAAGCCATGACTCCCTCCAATGTACTCAGTAGAACGTGGTCGTCTGGCAAATTGGAGTAAAACGAAATGTCCGGCTTCATCGAGAGCTTTCTTCAGTGAATTATCTGCTGTACTGGACCCCAAAAGCGAATGGTGTTTCGAAGTAACAAAACCAAATATCCTTTGGAGTGCATGACTTGGGAAATTGGAAACGTGTGCTCTTTCATTCAGGAGCACTAATGTGATTGGAGAAAAACGGAAATAAACAACTCATCACGTGGAGTGAGTTTCAGGTTACGGATTGTAAACGGTGAGGGTGCTTGAAAAGAATCGTGAGAAAAATCAGTGTGGATTGTTTGTGTTAATTTAAATTATTTGTTCGGCTGAAAATTGCGTTTATATTCGCCACTTCAGCTGGATGCAAAAGATTCGTCTTTGGTGCTGAGTGCCGAAGACGTCATTGATAATGACGCAGTAGCTACTGCTGTTGCTGCTGCTGCTGCTGCTGATGATGATGATGATGATGATGCTGATAATGATTATAACGATAATCGTGATGGTAACTCGGATGAAAATGCAGATGATGACTCGGATGATGCTGATGTTGCACCGGTGTAAATGATACTATTTGAAAGTATCCGGCGCATGAAACAAAACCTAGTTGTACTAAACCAATATATGTGTGAACTGCTTCGGCTGATGTCATTTTTCACGAGTTTTACGACTCATTTCATCACCGTTCGCTTCAACCAAAATCTTCCTTCCCATAATAGATAACCAGCACTGCAGTGAGTTTGATGTTGCTAGTTCGAATCCTCCTCATCAGTGGAACTCCGGGCGGTTAGGGCATCCTACTTATCACTCTGGCGGCCGTGCTTTAGAATCCAACCAACACCAGCCACTTTTCCCGGTCATTGTGTTATCTCACAGCCATTGGGTTGGCCGCTTCCCCCTTCTAGAGCCATGTTTGTATCAACACATATACGCGATAAGAGGAAGTATAACAGGAATAGCGGAAAAGAATATAAATATACAGACTGGTGAACGAGTTCCGCTTTAATGATTCGTATTCATACCAATGCGTCACATTTACTATTAACCAACCATCACATTTGGGAAAATAGAAAGTCCCAATTCTACATTATTTCAAAATGGTATCGCATGTGAAACCCGCCGTGATCACATGGCTGATCGTGTGTTCGTTCTATCGGGGAGATTCCGCGGGATGAGGACATTTCGAGGGCATGAGCCATGCGAGTGAGAGAACTTCAGCTTGCGCACAAATGGTTGACAGGCACACAGGGGTGGAGAGGCCTTGCAACCAATTCCAACCGCTGAGATTGGCAAACGTCAGCGAACCGGCCTTGACAGTCAATCTTATTCAGAGGGAGGAATATTTTGGTCTTGGTCACAGTACAATTTTTTTCGAACAGATTTTGACCCTTTTCCTATTCGACGGAAGTAAAAGATTTTGATCTTGGTCGAACTTTCTTTTAGCCAAAACATCACCCCCATATTGTTGAAAATAATTTCAAAAAACTTTGACTGGCAATTAGGGAGGTGAAATAAATGTCGTTGTCCTTAAATGTTTGCTAGTTCTGAAGAGTGTTTGGTCAATGTACAAAAAATGTTCGTTGTTAACCTTAAGAGGAGAGTTGTTATCAACCAAGCAGATGTTAAACTTCTGTTTGCCCTCAACCTCTCTCCCATTGCCAACTCTTTAAACCGGTACGGCTTGAGTCCTGCACGTTCCTTTTTCATCCGCGTTGTTTTCTCTGTTCCGTTGTTCACGTTTTGGCACGATCAAACGCATTGACAACGGTCCATGCCGTGATTGTGCTGGTATTCAGTGCACGGCGAATTGACAATCCGAGTAGATTTTCCATCGTTACCGTGGCATTGCATTTGTTAAAATCGGTTTTATTGTGGTTCCTCGTGAACTGTTTCCAAGGTCTATGTGTTTTTCCAGTTAAAAGGGGAGGGGAGAAGTTTATGCTACCGTAGAAAACCGGCACAAAAAGGATTTTGAAAACTTTTACGCTCTGGCTAGTTATGAATAAAAAAGTTGACCGGAAGAGCCGATTCGGAGAATGGAAGAAGGCGGATCTGAAGTGAGTGCACTTGAGGATTTCTCTTTGCCTGGATTGAGGAATGTGGTGAAAATAAAAAAATGAAACTTGATTCTGTATCGGTTTCACTTTAGCAGAAAATTGTAAACTTTGGAGGTTTTTATATCTGTTCATGAATTCGTTATGTAAAAGAAGAGTCTGGAGATACAATTAGTCGGAATCAAGTCTTGTATGGGTTTTATATTAGTTCCAATAAAATATTTGAAACTATTTCGTTTTCATGACTAGTGCTATTTATGTTTGCATTGATTTCAGACTTCTATGTAAACAACCATGCACCTGTGTGGCAAAAAATGCACTTGGGCATGTTAAAAGAGCGGGACATAAAATCCGGTTTGAAACGAAGCTTTAAAATGTTGTTGAGATATTCGCCTCGAGCCCGTATCCGATTGGGTAGAAGTCCAAGGAGACGGCAAACAGAGGAGATTCTGTAGATGCAAATACGGTAGAGAAAAACATGGCGACAGTTGAATATATCCCGATGTGTGGGATGAGTGACATAGAAAAGGATTCTCTTTGAAAATGTTTCATATTCTGGTCTGTGCTTCAAATCGTTCATCGAGGACTACAAAGCACACGCACACGCATATACAAGTGATGATTGACAATCTGGAGCGGATCATTTTAAATGTTTCTATCAAAGACTGCAAAAGGGTACGTTGGAACAACAAATCAGAAAAGAGACCGATGAAATCGAACGAAAGTATTTTTTCTCCGGTATTGAAATGTCCGAGTATCAACGCAGTTTCTTCATGTAGCCGTCAATGTCAGACATCCATCCTCAGCTTTTGTTGATTCCTGCTTCCTAATGGTAAACGGAACATATAATAGGTGAGAGTAGTGGATGAGGTGATGCAATTGCATGATGTATTCCGTCATTCATGAAGGAAACGATGTGTAAACAGAAAAGCTAGGAAGTATTGAAAATCTGTCTCAACCTTACTGGGTACGATCATTGCTGCGGGTCCATCGACTCAACTGGATATCGAACTCGGAACCTAACGGGTAGAATGAAAATACACTTACTATCCGATTACCGAGAAGCTGATCAGACTGTTTTCCATTTTGCCTTTATACGATATTGCACAACTCTTATTTGCGAGCTAGCTGCAGGCATCGCATCTCACTTATCTCAGTACTAGCCTCCGGGGTCAAGACTCGCTTTGAAAAGTTCTAACTCGAGTACGTTATCTGCAAAAGGATCGCAAACATCAGTTTTATACGGTGTAAAAGCAACATGANAACACTAAGATCAACTGTCATTCGGTCGTGACTGTTACACTTGCATTCTATCCCTGAGTTCCCGCGTTCACTACCCAGTTTGGTCAAAGGCTTTGCACTGCTGTTTTTCAGAGCTTTTTAGCTTTTCAGCTCACGCTTCATTTGATCTACACACGAGTAAATGCACCATGTAATCGAATCTACCCTAGATCGAGGTTCTGTGTTTACGATACAGTGTCACAGCGGTAGGCGGACCGTGAAAGGGCAAACGTGAATCCAAATCATCCGGATAAATGGGGGTAAATTCAAGCTTAACTTAAAAATCTCAAACAGAAGACAAATCGCTGGAGCGATTCGGATGAATGTGAATTACACAAGCATCTTGGCGGACAAATACTTCGTCAGTGTATTGCCATAATTTGACCAAGAAACTAGATGAAAGGTCACTGATGTGATTGAGAAACAAAACGGATGAGATAAACGCCCATTGAAACATTGTCGAATGATTCATGAGTGATCTGGACGTTTTCGTACCGGACTTATCGCGCAAAGTTCTGTTTGTCGAACATTGAGCCAACCTTGTCAATACGCATTTATTACAGTCTAATATGACGCATTAGGAAAGAACGTATAATTCAGTCAATGGCGAATGAAAAATCTGAGAAAGAACACGGTATGGATTTCGCAGATGCGTCTAAGGATTCGGGTACATTATGACCTGGTGAAACGATAGCAGTCGAATTGGTGTGTTTGCTATGCGATCTTAAGGAATTTTAAGGGAGAGTTGGAAGAAGCATTCAGATAATTTAGAATGAGATCCTGTGCTAATTTGAAGCCAGTTTAATAGTTGAGCACTCAGAAAAAAAAATTTTCGTAGAATACTGGATGTAAACATTTTAAAAAGAGAAAGTGTCTTCGTGGATCTCGTGCAATCGGAAATGGTGTAAGTGCAAAATGATGCTTTGGACAGAGTAAATAGCCATCCTTGTTCTTTGGAGTTGATCACAACAGACTGTTGGCATTGATTCTGGGGAGTGGGCTATAATAAATCAACATTCATATGGTTCAATTATTGATACACAATACTTCCGAAAGGGTGTAGTAGGCGTCTTCTGACTCAGTAAAAAATGATTTTCGTTGGAGCAAGCGCTGTCATAATGTGTCCAAGATTTCCACGTTGCTAACACTGACGTTCTTTGTTTAAAGGTTTCGGGTGTAAACTCAATCATCCCACTATAACGTTAGGTGCGATTACACCTTTTCCAATAAAGCTCTAGCCAAAACTCGAAGTACTTTAGCCTCGACTCGTAATCCTTCAGTCAAATCACGCAATGCTTTAGCCAAAATCCGTGGTCCTTTAGCCTCAACGCACACAGTGCAGCCACGCCGCAGCAGGCGAGTCAGATCAAAAAGCATCGGAATAATCTGAAGTCAACAAATGTTGAAAAAAATTATTTTCTATAAATTATGATACTGCAAAGCTTGATGAAGAAATAAGGTGTATGGGTTGCATGCTGTAAAACATGTGGACCGGAGAAGGTTTAAACGATATACCTGTATCGTCAAATCATTTGAAACACCTCGTGCAGCTTCAGTGTTTCTGAATAACATGTGATATTCCAAGGAGTAAAAATCTCAAATGAAACTCAAACGATACATTGTTTTGCGTACGTGCTAAGGATAATAAAGCGTTCGTAAAAGTACACTCCCATATCATCAGTTTATTAACGGTGCAACGTATATCATAATTACCACGGTCGAGGTTTACTTATTACGGGTTTGTCTACAGCTTCTTCGGAAACGGTGTTCTAAAAGGGTATGTGTCAACAGTATTTATTATTCTCGACCTTTTAATGCACCCATATGTCAAAAAAAGAGTTCACTTTAAGTGGATATACATAACGGTAAGCACATAGCTTCTGATTTAGTTCAGGGCTTGTGAATGCAAAACAGTATATTGTTTGAGTTTTACTTGGATTTTTACTCCTTGGAATATCACATGTTATTCAGAAACACTGAAGCTGCACGAGGTGTTTCAAATGATTTGACGATACAGGTATATCGTTTAAACCTTCTCCGGTCCACATGTTTTACAGCATGCAACCCATACACCTTATTTCTTCATCAAGCTTTGCAGCATCATAATTTATAGAAAATAATTTTTTTCAACATTTGTTGACTTCAGATTATTCCGATGCTTTTTGATCTGACTCGCCTGCTGCGGCGTGGCTGCATTGTGTGCGTTGAGGCTAAAGGACCACGGATTTTGGCTAAAGCTTGATGGGAAAGGGTGTAGTTCCTCGCTTTTTCGACTGAACACTGCGCCTATTCTATTCGAGTATAATGTGCATCACCAGTTTAAGTTTCCGGAATTGTTTTTGGTTATCGTAAGCGCTGAGGGTGTATATCAGCTGTTCACCACCCGATGCTGTGTAGTATAATAAAGACGAATCATTTTATTCAATGATTTATATTTTTCAGAGTTCTCCAACTTCAAGGAACCGCATCCCACTTCAAAATCGTAATTCGCAGGGGTGTACTGATATGAGCACGTATTGGTAGGGCTGGTACAGTGGTTCTGTCTATCATAGGAGGAAAAAACCGTTACCTATCAAAACACGGCCGAACAAATTCCGAATTGGCTTGCGAAGTGGATGACGCAACTGATAATCGATGGTCAGACGATTACGACATACAAAAAAGATATGGTGACCACAAGCCCTACAGTATACGTTATTTTGTCTTTCGGACTACTATTACAGGATCACAATACTAAAATGTTGGCAGGTAATAAAACAGTGTTTCACCCGACTTTATGCACACAAAGTGGTTTTACGCAATCAACCCACAGATCATGAAACTGATCTTATCCTTGAATATTGAGCAATGCATGTTCGCGTGTGCAAGTAGGTTCACTATGATTAATCGACCCAATTGCATTATGTGCTCCTTTTTTATATCAGCGATATAAGAAATTAAACTAAATGTTAAACTCTGGCAATAATTATTGTTTTATTCGGCTCTGCTACTATCTTTTTCCTAAATTCTTCATCTATATCAATACCCCACCCGGGCGGTGGTGGCCCAGTGGTATCGTTACCAAATTATCACCCGGACGATGTGTTCCAATTCCACTACAAACGCCTGAATTTCCCCTTTGTGTGTTCAATGAGAGTCTTTTGAAGTGCCAGTAAAAGTATCTAAAACCAATACTTCACGAATTGCTGCACTAAGCTATCCAGAAGTTTTGGCTACATTCTTGAGGTTTTTCTGTATCCTAGTATATAATTCAAAGGGAGTCCACTCATCACCGCATATATTGTTCTGATAGTCCAATTATCATCAGTGGCTCACTGTTTGTTTCCGAAAATGATTTTGTTGTTGAATTCCAGAATGGTATGTTTCTCCCGTTGCAACTGTTGCCGTTGACACTAAACAAGCAAGCATTTTCCGGAAACGGTTATTCATCGAAACAAACCGTTGTGGTAATAGTCACACCTGGAGAGATGCAAAAGAGCTTTTAGTTTTTACTGAAACACTGACACCACACTTCCCTCTATTCTGCGAAACCAACAGAGCTGGCACGTCTGTTAAGATTAATCAATATCAATGGGGCGAGAAGTGGAATTTAAAAATGCACCTTTCCTATTCATGAGCACCTTGAAATGAACAAAATGTAATCGTGGTCGAAACGTGGTTCACGCGTCTCCTACTTATATTTGCTGATGCTTTTTTTCTTGAATCTGCTATGGCTGACTGTACTAAACAACCAAATTGGTCAAACGAATACCATGGGGTTTTCAAACAAAAAGAGACATTCACAACGTTACACGGTTATTTATTTGAGGCTTCTCATCCTATATCTATAAAACTAAGTGCGAACGGCATCGCGACCGTGGGCAGAATGTTGAGGTTTTACTATTGGGTCGTTGGTTCGATGAGAGAAAATTAATTGAACAAGTCGTGGATTCTGTTCGTTGACAAAATACTGAAAGTCGGTTCTGGTAGTAAACTGAATTCCATTTTACCTTTTCGTCGAGCTTGTAAATTCCAAACCGATTTTCTGAGTGTTCCGACAGGACATATTGTAATTTCCCTGGGAATCGCTAATTGGTGGATGTTGAAATCCAGATCTCCACTCGTCACTTGATGTTAGCCTGCTTATCGCCGAGTTGACCGGGGTGCCACCACCAACGTACACCACAAAGTTGTGAAAACAGAGCTGAGTGTTGCGTCAATTATGAAAAAGACAAATGTCACTAGATGTTAACATTTTGTTTAATATTCTCAGTCGCTGATTTAAAACAAACAGGCACGCAGGTTTGATCAATTCTGGTGAGCGAACGTGTACAAGCCTACAAAAGTTACCAAATATAAAAGTAGAAGGTCAACTCCAAACACGTTGGCGCGCATAAGGTCGGGTAATGTAATGGAATAAACAGTACATCACTAATTGCCAGGCATTTAGCATTGCGATTGCGTAATAGGGATTCGGAAGACGAATTGCTGTTCACTGTGTTTTGTTGTTGCCATGGGATGTTTTGCAACAGATGCTCTAGATCTCCTGTGATCATTTGAACATTGTGCATTTGCTTGCCACGTGTGCGCAGCAAGGTGTCCCTCGGGAACGAATACGCCAGATAACCCAATGTGAGCCGAGTCTCGGTGCGGGCTGGAACCGTCGACAGACAGGAGGTTCTTCAGGGATTGGGTTCACTGACAATCTGCGAGAGAGAGAAATACAAACGCTGTGAACCAAACGGTCAAGTGAGACACGAACACGACTCACACTGAAACGAAATGACAAGTTGCCAAGGTTGTTAAGCCATCAGTTATCGGCGGCGTCATCGATTTCATCAACCACATTGGAATATGTTCGGCCATCCGTTATGAGCTGGCGGTTTGTTCTAATTTTGTATGCGTCACCGCAACTGTGAGTGAACTGGTGTGCAGTGTGTGAGATGAAAGCAGCCATCTTTACGTTTGTCCAGATCAATTCCGCGAGAAGAGGCAATGCATTTGAGTTGAGCAGCTCGGAATGAATGGTCTGTAGCTGACTTCAATTTATGGCGCACATCATTGTAAATGCGGTTACTTTTGAACGCAAGCTTTAAGTTGATGGCCTTTTTGCTGAGTTTTCGGTTGGATAAGATCAGGGACAGCAGCTGCACAACCTGTATACAATAAACTGAAAGCAGGCGACTGGAGACAGGTAAAAATGATCAATAGCCGGAATGACTTTTCACATGAAAAGCAATGACTCAATAAGTTTATAGAGGAGAATATGAGAAAAATTTAATACAATTTATTGGAAGAGTATTTCCAAACGTTTTCGGAGTTCAGTTGCTTCGTATTGTTGTATTGACGGATCGATGGTCGAAACCGAACTCCACAATTACTATTCATTTACCCCCGCAGAAGAGCAAAGACAGTTTATTGTATCGATACGAGATCGCCGAGAAAAATGAACGTTCAATTGGCACTTTTTGTTACTCTTGAAATTGTATTGACGAAATTCAACATTTTTATGGGGGACCTGCTCGCACTTAGTCATCATACACATCCAGAAAGCCTGCCGTTTGGTTTATAAAGCAATACCCTATCTAAACACCTCCATGGTCACAATACAGCTTCACATACACTTTGGTGCCCATTCAGACTATCCAGTTTTATGGTGCATTCAAGTAAACATATCAATAAGTACTATCGTGGGGACCTTTAGGTGCTTCAACATTGTACGAATAATGAATATATTCACCAATCAATTTAGCAACAAACAGCAAGGTTTGTTCAATATAGTACTCGGTAGAGAAATATAATGCGTTTGTTTGATGTAACAGAGCAATTGTCGTATTCATTGAGAACCAGCTGATATAATCTTGTAAAACAGTACACTTGCACTATAGTAAATTAAGCACGTATCTTTAACTTTTTGAAACCATTGCTTCTCCGCTGCGAAACATTAAAAACGTTAAAAAAAATTTCACTCACCTTGGTAACAGTCACACAATTAAGCTATACTGGCGGACTTGGCTTCTGTCGGAATCCTTGATTAGACAATTTTCTTTCTCACTTTCATAAGATATCCCTCAAGTAACTAAGAATAACTTGATTTGGTCTGAACGCTTCCGAACCGACTGAACAACTAAACATCTGAAGTATTCCGAAGGCCATTAGGAATCATCTTTTGACGTTTAAGCAGTGTTTATCATCAGCAGTATTAGACATATGTGAGCAAAATGTAAATATGTGTTGTTTTAGCCCTATAGATTAGCAGTAAATGACCGCGGACATTACCTAATACCATCAGTCTCTTTTCTAGTTGCTATTTAGAGGCCTCAGTGTTACAGAGCGCTTTCATAGGGATTATCAGCATGGGTTTGACAGCACAATGAACACCGTGCCCATCAATGTGACCCACGTTTAGTTTGGTAACACCAGGATGTGGACAACAACAGCAAACGGATTCAGTTGCCACGGTTTGGGTGTTATTCTCCTTACTAAAACGAAAATGAAGTCGGGATACTCGGCCGAGTTCAACGACGTTTGAGCAAATGCAAAACAGGCTGAATGAAATATCGTAGACTATGAATCTCGTTTGTTATTCACTAAAAATTTTCCAAATCTTGTGTTAATATGAACAGCTGGTTTTTCACAACAGTCAGCAAACTATTCGGTGGACTGCTCTTACGGGATTTGAGCAATCATTTTTATGAATCGCGTGAAGATTTCGAACTTTGCCTATGATAAACCTACTACTTTTCCAGCGATTTGCATCGTGTCAACATATCATAGCGTAGTACTGGAGTCACCAAAAGCTAATCCAACTGTTTCAGAGGGTGTATGATCGTCCGACCCACTGGGTAGGTTATCATGCTAGATCAACGAAGAAATGTGCGAACCGCAAGGACCACCCAATAGCAAAATCAGCTACTAAATTTTACATCGTTTTTGCATCACTCTCTAATCATTACTTACCACTTGATATTGGATTGTTCCTTTTAATGCGTTGTAATATTTTGGTGTGACCAATTCCATTTTAACACTAACCGCTGAGTTAGAATCAGTTATATTTAAACGTTGATCTCGATGGAAGACCCCGTGAATTTACGGTGATATCTTAACCCAAATAAACTCAAACTCAAATAAGCAACGAATTCGAGGATTTCCGTTTTGGAAGCTGTCAGCAATGTTTTTAATAGGTTTCTCATATATGTAACCCAAATATCACCGTAAATTCATGAGGCCTTTCATCGAGCTCAACGTCATTTTCTCAGATGTCACTTGCATAACGGATTTCAAAGATATTGCAAGGCCATTGAAGGGTCGTAGAAGTATCCGTAAGTAGAGAGAAATTGTAAAATTTGGTAATCGGAATACGTAAATGAGATGCGATTTGCTACATACCTTTGGATTACGGTGACATCGAATATCTTTGGACAACGCACAATATCAATATCAATGCACGTCAGTAGCATAATGAGCCAAACATATTTCCTAGGAAGTTCCAAAGAATCTCTGGTTTAGAATTTGTTTAAGATGTGTGATAAACGGCTAGTGAACATTTATCACAAGTTTCTTCTCGCAAATAAAACCAACAATTGTGGCAATGAATTGAGCTGACCGATCTACGTCCTATGAAAAGTGCAATCTATTATACTTCTTTCAAATTTTAGTAACAAGAAAAACAAGCAAAAGTTACAGAACAACCCAAATTAAACTGCTACATGACATCTCGTCAGCTATGCGCAAAATGAAGCATGTAAAATGCTTACTCGAGCGATGAAAAAACCGTGAACGCCAAAAGCATTCAACCGGGTAAAACCAAAGATTGGTCAAACGTTAGCAGTCGCATACGGAATGTGCAGAGGGCAGTGATGGGGACCATACACATTGAATGAAAGCAGCGTAAGTAAAATGAAAAATGAAAACAAACTCTTCAAACATATTTTCAACTAGGACTGCCTACAATTTTCCTCACGCAATTACGCTTTCCAATGTATTTAGGGTAGAAACGTACAAATAAACATCGGAGGAAAACCGGACCAACCGACAAGTTCATTGTTTTATCAAGGTTCGGTTCAGACCTGGAAATGTCTCGCTAACTTACAAAAGTCATCGAATAGCCTACTGTTTTTGGCAAAAGACGAAATAATTGTTTAGGGTTTACAAAAGCTTCTAGAATCCAGCTAACAAAGCTAGGTAAAAGATCTGAGTTAACCGGTGTTAAGATTATCGGAAACATCCTGAGATCCTGCTGAGTAGTCAGTATTCTTTGACTTTATTCATTTCAAATGCCTCCTGAGCTAATGAAAATCCCACATGAATAGGTTTGTTCACAGCTGTTTAGCTATCACAAAACAGCTGAATTGTGAGGCTTGTTTACACTTACATGGAAGTTCCTAGAGTAAAATGAATACATGACATTTTTACAAAATGTTTCATCATCATTACATCAGTTGTTATTGCTCTGGTTATAAACTAAACATGAAAAGTCCACCTACGGTCATCTGCTGCTTCCACATTCTTCGAATCGGTTGGATTACGTGATTATTGAAAGAACCATGGTTATTCAAGTACCTCAGACAACGAAAAACACGAAACAGACAAAACATGTGTGTAGAGTGCGTATCGTAAAGAAACACAAGTTTGGGTTGTTTTTTCGCCATCAGAGAACGGGTTTGACCGTACCAAATCCACTTATGAGTTGAGTCACGAAATGAAACTTAAAAAAGGGGAACGTTGTCTGTTCTGACCGCAGGCAGCGTTAGAATACACGAACATTTTGCAGGCCATTACATAACGAATGTAGTTGTTTTGCTTATCGATAAGAACAACTTTTCACTCATTTTCACTCAAGTTCGACCGATTCGAGGTTTTGTGGTTGTGATTATTGGTCCAGTGTTCCAGTTCCTGTGCTCGTGAATTTTCACGCATCAGTCTGATGACAATCAACGTTATATAACTTTTTCCGAAATACTGACTTATTCTGCAACCTGATATTTGGTGATGTGACCATAATAAAATGGAAACCAAAAATACACACACCGGGAACTGTAAATCGTATCCACTACTGCGTATGGAAATACAAATTTAAAACACCTAACTCCACGATGGAAACCCGTGCGTATTTTTTATTATTCATATTGCAGGACACTCTGCAAAAGAAATCACATTGATAATCGAAAAGCATAAATCTCAATTCTCCATGTGTGTTTATTTTCAGGATACGGTGATTAATTAGCGTAAAGGAATGAGTAGAAAATACCTGGTAAAAAACACACAATCCTGTCAAAGTTCAAGGAATACATTAGAAAATGACGTAAAATTATTGCGTAACGCAAGGTCGAATCATTGTTATCGCAACAAACGTATCGAGTAACACATAACACGTAACAAAACACATTGTGTAAGCTCATTTATTGGTTCTTGTCGAAAAACGTACCTAGCTTCCCTGGTCAGGTGACTGCCCGAATGGAGTTATAAACGTAACCCTGCGTGGCTGAACACTGGAACGAGTAAGTTACTCATCTGTGCAGTGATTTTGCAGCTAGCTGAAACAAATCACACTATGGACGTTGCCGAGGCTTTCCGCTCTTTGGATAAAGCTCGTGGGCGCTTATCGAGGCCGGTTCGTAGTCGGATGTTGGCCACTGAAGATGCAGTAGGCATTCGTTTGCACCATCTCCCTCTGTGAGCTCAAAAACAAGTTGTGCAATCGCTATCCCACCTCACCTCTCACAGACGCCGTAGCACAAGTAATCTCGATGAGCGGATGATGTCATCGCGGTGAATCCGATTCCCGGTTACATGATGAGATTGTTTCTTGTAATCTTTCTCGTGATGTGATTTTATATTTTCCAAGACAATTTTATTTCCAAGCACTGATATATATTGAGATGTATTAGCATGAATAAAAATATTGGAAAACGACCTTGTTCTCGATTCTGTTGCTTTTTCTGAAATGTGCTCTGTGCGACTGAATTGAAAACTCATAAAACCTTAGTTTCCGGAAAGCGCAGTACTTCAAAACGACATTTTATCTCTTTACACGTTCCGCCTGACGGCAACACTGAATTAATTAAAAAAGCTAATTAAAAAGAGCAGTATATGATGCCGTCCATGCCGTTCAACTTTGAGCTTCCTATTCGGTTCGACCCATTTTTGTTCAGAAACTCAAAGATCGACAAAGCCTGCTGCTTACTTCGATTTGCAACGACAGCATTCCCGGTTCCAGTGAAGCTTGTTATACTAGCCGCATCGGTATTCAGTTTATCCAAATACTCATCGGATATCGTCGATAATACGCAGGAGACAGATTGATGCAATTCAAATCTTTCTAACAGAACACCAACACTGACTAGTTTGTAGATGTTGGAAAATCATTCTAGAACTTCGAAATTTCATCAGGCATGTTGAAAACATAGTGCACTTTTGAGGTTGCAAAACACCGTTTGCCGACCGATAAAGTGCCATGGAGAGCTTTTGCATTCATGTTGGGACAAACTGATATTACACAAATCACAATGTGATTGCGTAACAGGGCCCCAATCTGTATATGGTTTAAATCAACCTGCGTAACCGCCCACCCATCAATTTCCGTACCTAAACATTGACGCCCAGCACGACAGACTGTCTTAGTTGGCATCCTGTGTTTGAGCTATCTGAATCCTAAGGGGTGTGAATTATTAATTACCTGAGACCTGTTTGAGAGATTACAAAAACAGCCTTCTGCACAACTGATGTGTCATGCCAACGGGCATACGTGTTAACGACTATCCTAGTCATGGAAAAGATTCATTGACGCTAACAGAACTCATGTGGGTTGCTACGAAAACCGAGTCTATTTCTTTATCATTTACACGAATATTGCCTTTTCTCAGTCGAACAAAGAATTTCTCTTGCTGATAGTTCAAACGATCTGCAACCACTAACTCCTGCGGTAACTCAAATGAAGTCAAGTCAAGAATGCACGTTATTCATCCATTGTGGACAACATTTTCCGTGAAAAACATTTTTATTACTTTTGCTCTGGCATACATGCTATAAAAATGGGTTTAAAGTTATGGTAAATGGTATATAGGTAATAATGAAGAGGAACCGAGAACGAGTAGCAAATGTAGATAGACAATTGTAGCGTGAAAATGTATATGAGACTGTGCAATAATTCATTTGATATTTGTTCTTTGGAAACCAAGGTACAACAGAACTGTGGAAAGCTGTGGTGCGTGTATATAAAGCTTCAAATTTACTGCTAGTTACAGAAGTTGAAATGGGGCATTAGAACATTGAGTGCAAAGAATGTGACGCATCAGAAAAGATTGAGTCACAGAGAGGGTTACACGTCTTCATGTGTTGGTTGACAATTGAATCAACCATCGCCTCAAAAGGTAAAGCTCCATATCTTGAGATGCTTTTCGGAGAGTGTCTGATCAATATGAAATCCTTAGACAAAAAACGGGGAAGATAATGTGGGGCAGTATGGTCTAATGGCATAAAACACAAGAGTAAGTAAATGATGTACAATGGCACCTTCAGATATATAGTTCAGCCTTATAGCTTTTGGAAAACATTTATTCTATGTGCTAGAATCATTTTAGGTCAGTAAACAGAAACTGTCGAAGATACTGAAAGTGTTGTAACCTTTCAACCTTTAGCTTATTGAGTACAGTCTAGGGAACGAGTGATATAGAAAGTGTTGATGGTCTGCGGTTAATCGAAAACAAAACACAATACATCTATTGGGGTTTAAAGGAACGGTAACCCCTATCAAACCATGTCAGAAACGTAACTTATAACTGACTAGATGGGATTGATTGAGGGTTTGCAGGTATATGCGCCACCAACTACTATATCATCTGCATATGTTATGTGAAAACAGTTGGGGTGACTGGCAAGTTTTTAATGTAAATGTGGAACGGAAAAGGGGATACAATTGCCCCTTGTATTACACCTTGGTTTACAGTGCCACGGAAGAACTAATACCATTGAGAAAAATGAATCAGCGTCATTCGGCAAATTGGTCATGCTATGGCAGT